ACCACAGCTTGTCTGAGTCCTCGTCCTCTTCTTCCCAGCATCCTGGTGGGAAATCCCCTCAACTGCTCCTGCGGGATCCGCTGGCTGCAGCTCTGGCAGAACGGGAGCCGGGCTGAACTGGGCAACCAGTCCCTGGGCTGCTGGGAGGGCAGCATACTGGTCCCACTGGGCAACCAGCCCCTCCGCGCCTGCGGTACGTGGGTGCTGGGTTTGTCCCCTCTTCCTGAGTCACCTCATTGGGGACAGCGTGGGACGCAGCAGGGGACACGGCTCTGCTCACCCCACTCTCCTCAACAGAGCCCCCAACTGTCCATATTGAGCACCCCGAGGTGTTGCTGCGCCAAGGGGACAATGTCAACCTCACCTGCCGCATCGCCTCTGAGCCACCGGCCACCGGGAAATGGGTGCTGCCCGAGGTGGGACTCGATCTGCACGTTGTCACCAAGGTAAGACCCTCCCAGTGTCACTTAACCTCCATCATCCCCACTGCAGCATCCTCGGGCTGGTGGAGCTGGTTCGGCTCTTGGGGGGGAGTTGTTTGCTCACCCCATCCCGGTGTTCCCCGTAGATCTCAGACTGGGAGATCATCTTGGAGATCACCAACGTCTCCTCCAACCTCAACCACAAAGAGCTGACGTGCCGGGCAGAGAACGCGGTGGGGCCGGCGGAGGACAGCGTGATGCTGAATGTCACCTGTGAGCAACGCAGTGGGGCTGGGGTGGTGTCCAACTCAGGGACCCACCCAACTCCCAGTTTCTCCCAGTTCCTCCCGTGATCCTGCTCCTCCATGAAGCCATTCCCCAACACTTCTGGTGCATCCCCTTCTCTGTGGACGGCAATCCTCTTCCCAGTATCCGCTGGCTTTTTAACGGCACCGCTTTGATCGAAGGACCCTACATCCACACCCGCATCGTGGAGTACGAACACAACTCCACCGTCCTCCACGGCTGCCTCCAACTCAACCGTCCCACCCACGTCAACAACGGCAACTACACCCTCCTGGTCCACAACCCCCTGGGCTCCGCCGCCCGCAGCGTCCAGGGACGCTTCATGGAAAATCCTTTCAGCTTCAGCCCCGAGGAGCCCATTCCCGGTAGGTGCCGGTAAATACCGGGAAGAGTTGGCTACCAGAGGGGGCTTCCCCCCTCTCTGGTCTTGGTGGAGGAGGTGCACCTCATCTTTCTTTGCACTGGGCTGTGAAATGGGTTGAATCTGGCTCCGAGCAAGTCCGGCCCGTGCCTCAGTTTCTCCAGGGGTGGGAGCGCGGAGGGACGGGGTGTTCTGGGTTGGGGAATAACGAGGGTTTCTGCTTTCTCTCTCCATTTGGGCTGCACCAGTGTCTCTGTCTCCACTGGGTGAGTGACCAGACACACCCCACCCTGTCCAACTACCCCCCCAAAAAACTCCATGCACCCCCCAAAAACTCCATGCACCCCCCAAAAACTGTGAACACC